ATAGAGTGTTTAGGATATTTTCTCTTTTCCGTGATCGAATAAACGTACGATTGAATCCGGCTAACCTTCCTTGCGATACGACCCGGGGAACGAATCTTTTGATTCTACTCTGGTAAAAATACTCACAACATCAATCATCCCCACATATATCACCATTACCTTCACCTTCCCACCCATCTTCCTCCATCCCCACCACCTCTGATCATTCAATTCAAAATGAACCCCACTCTTCTCCTATACAGCTGTTCGTTTCGTTTTTGTTAGTGTTTTCGTGTTTATTTTATGTTTATTTTTCCCCATTCTAGGCATTTCTTTTTGGCTTTTGGTCCATTTGTGAGTCTTGTCTTGCATTTTCTTTATTTCGCTCGTTTTGGTTTTTCTTGTTTGTTTTGTCTCGATTTTCTGCGTTTTTCTTTTCGGTGGTGGTGTGCAGGATAGGTGGTCCGGTCGGGAAGTGGTCACACAAGGATAATTATCTAGACGGATGAGTTGGGGTCGAGTGGAAAAAGACGGAATCCAATTCCGGGTCCAGATGCGTGGATTCGAGCCGGAAATCACAGCCGGATCACCGAAATCCTTCACCGCGGCCCGCGACAATGTTCCCGCGACCGCGGTGAACAAACCTCCCCAGTGCCCAGTTTTACTCGCCGCGGCCCGCAACGGTTCCTTCACCGCGGCCGCGGCGAACAAATGTCGCAGCCATACAGTACTTCAGTCTAGGATCTCCCGCGGCCTCGGGGGTTGGTCGCGGCCCGCGGAGCTCTTCGCCGCGGCCCGCGAGATGGGTCGCGGCCCGCGAAGTCCGCGATCTACAGATTTTTAAAGTTATATTTTGGGATCATTTTTCATTATGTTTGATGTTAGGTTTTGTTCTTTCTCGTACGAAAAAAGTTCCAGAACACATATTTTTCACTTGTTTCTCTTGGGGATCAATCTTGAGGGTGAAAACTTAGAGATTTGACTCTTGGATTTGGTTTTTTCTATTGTTCTCGACATTGGATTCGTTAATCGTAAGCTTTACTTTCGTTTTCCTTTCGATTGAGATGGCTTTGATTATTGAATATGTTGATGTTGAATGCATGATGAGTAGCTAAATTCATTAGCTAGGGGTAGGGGATTATCGGTCCGGTTCGATTTCGTTTAAATGCTTGGTAATTGCTCATCTTTCCGAGTTGTGCTTAACCTAGGGTTTAGATGCTTGATCTCCATCTTAATCTAATTAATCAATTTAGAAACCGAAAGGGGATAAATTGTTCGATCTAGGCTCGTTAAGAATAGGCTTGTTCGGTAGCGTATTGTCTATGTGCTAATTGATTCGTTAATGATTTGTTCATGTT